TATATTCAAGATCATAGTTTGGCTCTCTTGGATTTGTTTTAATTGACTTCAACTTCAATTAACACTTAACAGTAGGGTGTATATTTAAAATTTTTCATAAGGTTGTTAATTTAAAAAGGTGGGCCACTGACCAGAACCAGGGGCCCAGGGAACATCCTTATTGCAGAGCTCTGCCCCACGTGCAAACGCTCCATGGATGAGGAAGTGCTCCACGGCTGGTAGAAAGTCCCTTTGACAGTGAACTAGTTGGGGAAGACTAGGTGTTTGCTGTTTTCTGGTAATCGCTGGTGCTCACACTAAACTGAATAGATTGTGAAAGTCTCAGGTCACAAGAATAATAATTTTTTCATAACCTAGGGCCAGAGGATCTTTGAAAAGTCCTTTAATCTAGCTCACAGCTCTGGAAAGGCCCTTTCACCCACTTAACATATTTACGTACCTGCTATGTGCCAAGCACAGGGAAGGGCACTGAACGAGGGAGGGCTCTACCCACTTGAAGGTTATAATTTAATAGACTAAATCTAAGCCATCCAGCCCTTTTGAATCTTTTCTGAATAAGACAAGGAAAAGCACATTAACAGTAACACATGCACTTTAGGGCTTCTACATGCCTGATGCTCTGCTGAAGACCTTATATGTATTATTGTGTTTAATCCCCAGGATAGCCCTGTGAGGTACACAGTAGTATCTCTTTTTACACAGAGCTGGACTTGTGTGCACACTTGACTTGTAATTACAACCAACACATGAAGTGGTTAAGTGACTTGCTCAAGGTCATCCACCTAGTAAACAGTAGGGAAGGGATCTGAAGCCAGGCAGTCTGGCTCAAAGGAGCTCTGGTGATGTAGTGGTTAAGGCATTTGGCTGTTAACCAAAAGGTCCATGGTTTGAACCCACTGGCTGCTCCACAGAAGAAAGATGACACAGTCTGCTTCCATAAAGAGTTATAGCCTTGGAAACCCAATGGGGGTCACTGAGTCAGAATCGACCCAATGGCAGTGAGTTTGGTTATGGAATCTGCCTCAAGGGCTCTCTTATCTATACTCTCAGCCACTGCACTATAAATTCCACACTGATGGGGCTGGAGCAGACTCATTTCAAATCCCAAAGAGATCGTGATGGCCTGACAGGCAACAGCAACAGGATATTGTTGATCTGCAAACCAAAAATGCTGGTCAGCATTTAGCACCAGGAATGGCAAAGCTGGAAGGAACTACTCCAGACAAAAGTCATGACCTGGCCCATCCCAACAGTTTATAGATGGTGAAGATGAGCCAGAGCCAGGGCTCCAGACAGAGGTGGGATCTCCAATTCATGGGGCCTCTAACTCCATGATGATAACAGGCACACAGGCTGTGGTGTTGGCGGGACAGAGGACAGTGGATGGCACCTCCCTATGCTCCTATTCCATGCTGCCACAGAAGATACTCCCCCTGTACCTCCACTTGCAACACAAAGGCCTAGAGCTGGGCATTTTGTACCCGTTGAGTCCCCACTGCCATCCCATCCCTTCCCTACAACCCTGAATCTGTGCCATGCTCCTAAGCCTCTTGAATACTCACCCCTAAAGCCCAGCCCTGGGCCTGGACACTTTGGGGCCAATTGATGAGCCAGGGCACCTTGTAATGACAAGAGTGTCTCACATTCCCTCTCACCTCTGAATGGCTGATGACCTTTTCCTTGAATGGACATTGATACCCTATCAGGTCAATAGGCCCTCCCTTCCTCCCATGAAATTCAAATCTGGACTTGAAATAGTTTACAAATGATCTCTGTTTAAAACTTGACAAAACACAAAACAAGGCAGAGGTCAGAATGGTGATGCAAACTATCTTCAGGTCCCATAAATCAACTGGGACTAACCCCAGAAGTGCATGTGAGGCCTGCAGCAACAGAGATAAGAGAGCAACCTTTCCTTTCTCATCAGCTTAAGAATAATCTCCACCAGCTGCAGCTCCTGGGTTTCCAGCACTGATCTGCCCTTCTTCCCAGGCTCCCTCTTCCACAGTGTTCTCCCAGCAGGCAGCCCTGGGCCAAAGTCTGCTCCATGCAGAAAGGATGGCCTGTCCTCAGTCAGCCCAATGGACTTC